AGAGAGAGAGAGAGAGAGAGAGAGAGAGAGAGAGAGAGAGAGAAAGAGGGAGACAGAGAGAGACAGACAGAGAGAGAGACAGAGACAGAGATTAGGAATGGAACGAAAAAATACAAATCATAAACCTCTAACTGAAAACAATTTGAACAGTGTCCTGAAAATTTTAACAAGATTTGTCAAGATTGAAGGGTTAGACAATGAGCAATTAAAGCATGCCTAGTTCCTTGTAGTATTTAAGAGGGGAATAAAACTGATGCTTATGTTCAAACATAATAAAAATATTTGTACTTAAGAATGTATATAAAATATATACTCAACTGGCAGGGAAGTTACCATGATCATGAATCATAATCATGATCAGGGTGAGGCTTAACCATTACATTCCTGATGTACTGTCCTTGGTGATTTCCCCAAATGAGGGAAAGTTGACTGTATAATTTATGGTAGTAGGGGACTGTGTGCACAGTCCCCCATGTAAAAGAGAGAGAGAGAGAGAGAGAGAGAGAGAGAGAATAAAATTTTAAAAGCAACCACAAAAACTGTCTTCTAGACATCACAGAGGAAACAGAGGTACATAGAAAACTATGAGTTCAAGTGTAGGCAAGAGGAACAGAAAAAAAAATCAAAAAGTGCCACAAAGGAGTATGAAGAAAAGTGAGAGTCACCTATTTTAGTAATCACATGAGTGTAAATGTATTTTACTTGCCTACTAAGAAATAAGTATATTTAAAAATATCACCGTGTGCTGCATATACAGAACACATGCAAAATAATAGCACATAAAGTTGTAGGGGTAAGGGAATAGAAAATATTCCAATCATTTAGTAAACAAAATAAATGTGTGCAAATACATAGTTTGGATGCAATGTAGACAAATATGACAGTATGATATGTAATTTTAATAATAAAGACAATGACCTATGATAATAGTAGCTAGTGTTATTGTGAACATGTCATAGGCCAGCATCCATAAATGCTTTAGAGAGTTTAGATGATTTAATTGTAAAGACAACCATAAGGACTTTGAAAGCTGTGCTATAAATCCCTGTGGTGTTCCATTTGATATGAATATACATCCATGGTTTTAGACTTTCAGTTTTAAAATACACAGAGTCTGTTAAAAATCAAACTGACAGCTTCATAGAAAGCAGTCGGTGAATACAATCAGGAAATCTACACAAGGAGTAATTTGAGGAGTTGATAAGCCCAGGAAAAGGAACTCATTTCTCTCTTAGTCAAAATAAAAAGTTAGCACTTCACTCTCATCAGCTTGGAAAAAGTATAAAGTACAAAAAGAAGATAGCTGGCAAAGATGCAAAAAATCATAAAATTTTATGCACTTTCATAGAAGAGTGAATTGGCACTGTGGAGAGTACAGTAAATTTATATTATATAGTATGAAGCAATTTCATTTCTAGGAAGACATCCTAGAGAGGCTTGCACTTAACAACAAGGAGATCCATAAATAATTACTCACAAAATTAATGTTTTATTGTGAAATTATTGGAATTGCTCTCATGAGAACAAATCCTACATGTATGATGCCAATATGGACAAAAACTTAAGTCACAGTGCATAAAGCAGGACTGTTTACAGAAGCACACAAATTAATATTATATTTTATTCTGGGAGCCATATATCTTGAAAGAACCAATAAATGAAAGTAATGGAGTGGAAATTTAGGGGGTTGGTTACTTCTGGGGAATGAAGAGTAGGAGAACTTAAGAGGGTTGTACAGAAAGCTTCAACTGCATTGGTAATCCTTTGTTTATTGTTATTAATTACTCTTAGTATTTATGTAAGTGTATATGTAAATGTGTGGATGCTATGTGTGTACAGATGTAAGTATATATTCCCAGATGCCAGAGAAGTGTATCAGGTATCCTGCTCTGTCATGCTCCTTAAGATAAGGTGTCTCAATGGACCTGAGTTTAGACTGGTCTACAGGATCCTGTGATTCCCCTTCCTCTTTTCTATGCCCCCAATCCCCAGCACCAGGGTCACAGATGTGTGTGACCATGGACAGCTCTTGTTTTTTCCTATGTAGGTTCAGGAAATTTAAATTCAGATCCTCATGTTTTAGCAATTACTTTTACTAACTAAATTATCTTCTAAGTCCCCTTTGTTATTATTTGGGGAACAACATCTTATGTATTTCAAGCTAGATCAAACTCACTATGTAGCCTAGGTTGGCTTAGCCTTGAACTCCTGATCCTCCTGCCTTTACCTGCTAAATGGTATTACATTCATTCATTTCCATACCCATTAGCAATACCTTATTTTAAAAATAATGTGAAATACACATATAAAAAGTTGTTATATTAAAGCTGAATAATGTGTATACATATACTTACTAGATTATTATTCACATTATCTTGTTCATTTGAAACATTTTGTAGTTCTTTCATGGTACTTTGTAGATTTCAAACATATTTGCACCTTCCCAAGTGTCTTGGTATTTCCTGTGGTTAGCATAAGGCCTCAAACAAAATTGGAATTCAAATGTCTCCTGAGTACAGGGATGACTGACTGAATATTAAATTTTCTCTCATTTAGAGTACATAGACAATCAGCAGAAGGCCACAAAAGTGAAAAAGAAAAACAGATACAGCAGTTTCAGCAGATATTTTTAAGACATTGCACAGGGCTGGGCTGTAGCTAGCATGCACAAGGTCCTGAGTTCAATCCCCAGGACTACAAACAATAATAACAATAAGATATTGTTCAGCTTTTATCTTACAAATGCTTTGCAAATTTCCTTAGAACTTAATTTTCACATATTTCAAGGTAACAGTAACAGATTACTGAGATTGAATTTATGTCACTGTATAAAATTGAAGTTGTCATGTGTGTGTCTTATTTGTGTGTGTATCCACATGTGTGAGTGAGCATGCATGTTGAGACCAGAGGTAAACATTGCAAATTATCCTCAGTCACTCTATTTTATTATTCTAAGCACTGAACCTAAAAGTCACTAGTTGACTAGACTTTCTCCACCATCCTAGTGCTGAAGTTTCAGATGTAATTCTGTATCTGGCTCTTTATAGTACTACTGTTAGGGTTCCTAAGTCAAGTCTTCATGCTTGTGTAGCAAGAGCTTTATTAACTGAGCCATCTCTCCAGCTCCCTAAGTGAAATTATTTCTAATAATATTGGAGAGCCAGGAGTGTTGTAATCCCCGTGCTGAGGAGGCTACCCAGAAGAATTTCTAGTTCCAGGCCAGCCTTGCTACATAGGAAGGATCCTACCCCAAAGAAGTTGGAGAGAAATATGAGTACATATGCTTCAAATGTTACGTTAATATTCTTTGGGTCTTTTCTGATAAATTATAGCAAATAAGAAACAGTTTCATTCAATCTAGGAAGTAAGCTCATTAGAAACTAATGTAGTAGAATAGTTGTTGCTCATCAATGCAGATCCAATTTAAGAGAATATAATTCATCCAAATGGTAACTTAAATCATATTAATTACAAATATACATTATATTTAAATCTCAAAATATTACATTAGGACACTTTGACATTATGACAGTGGCTTGGAAAATATATAAACAACATACCAATTATTGCTGCATATATATATATATATATATATATATATATATATATATATATATGTATATATATATGAAATAAACCTTTTTTTTCTTCCCTTATGTACTAACTAGCCTGGAGACATCAATTTTCTTTGGCAATGATGTAACTTCCTCATTGGGGTGTCCTGACTAATAGGTGATCTGAATCTGAATTGAGAACTACACTCTATTCGAGAGAGGGACAAATATTAGAGGAATGTGTGTTTACAGCAGGGCAACTCAGGTGGGGAAGTCAGCGACATTGTGGTTGCCCTTGCTTGGGCATGATGGCTGCTGTGACAGTGGTGCTGGCATTGTCTGCAATGATCCAATCACAGTGCATTATGAACTGACTGAGGAAAGACATTCACAGGATTTCTGTGCTTAGACCATGACTAGCTTAGAAATATTAAACTATTTAAATGATCTAAAGCTGATCATTTAAGTTTGTAACTTTTCTCTTCCTGCCAAATCTTGAGAAAGCTCTGGAGTGAGGGAAAACCACAAGCATTTGAGTAACAAAATTGTAGTGACCCCAGGGATGTGGGGGGTGTCTGGCTTCCATGAGATAGAAATGGGCTCAGGGTAGGGGCTCCTGAATCTCACAATTCATGAATAGGCTTGGGAAATCATCTTAAGTCTGTTGTTTTCTTTCGCAACTTAGTCCTGGGAAGTTATATCCTTTTAATAAAAAACAAGAGACAAAATAAATAAGTTTAAACATTATATAATCATATATGTGTAATAAACCTATAAATGATACCCCCAAATTTACTAACATTTAAAATTGATAAGGTAGATGCTTTCAGAATGATGATTCAATTTATAATATAGAATGGGTAAAGGTAGTTATAAATACCTATAACTAAGTGATAAAGAGCCATTTCATTTTGAAAGAGAAGTGAGCTATAGCAGTTTTATGGGTATTAATTCCACCAATAGCTTTGGAGTATCAACCTTAGGGCATGGCCTGCTTAAAATCTGAGGAGGTGCCTGTGGTCACTCTCTCTTGGGGTGATCAGAGACTGGATGACTGGATCCATTCCCTCCCGGGCAGAATGGAGGTCAAAGACTGCTGTTTACTTGGTTCTGTATACATGAGTGTAATTTTCCTCATTTTATATCTTAATAAATCCTTGATACCCTTTTAACATATTCTTGTGGATTTGTTTACAAGTGGTGCCCAAAGTGGGATATGAACCCATGACCCTGGGAATAAGAGTCTCATGCTCTACTGACTGAGCTAGCTGGGCTAGAGAGATGGCTCAGAGGTTAAGAGCACTGACTAGTCTTCCAGAGGTCCCGAGCTGCATTTTACTTTCAAATGAGAGCTTTTTAAAATGTCAAGTACTTTCGAAAAATTTTCTCCAGTTTTGAAAATTAATTCATATTATTTATAAAAAATAATGGATTTTACTCTGACATTTTTGTTTACAGATGTCTACCCTACAACTCTTTCCTGAAGAAATTCACTTAGTAGTTATCTGAGGATAAATTAGATAAAAAATACCTGTAGATGTAACCAACTGTCTTATTAAATAAGAAACACAGAACCAATGCAAAGAAGAAAGCCAAGAGATCAGAGCTAAGAGCCTTACCCGCCTGCTGCAGCTAGCCAAGAGAACTCTCCGAAAAGGACACCTACTTCCTGTGTGTTTTTCTTTATATAGATTTTCTGTTTTGCCTTCTCATTGGTTGTAAACCCAAACACATGACTGCCTCATCACTGCCTGTTTGTACAGCCCTCCAGGTCTTCTATGGTATTGAAATTAAAGGCGTGTGTCTCCAATGCTGGCTGTATCCTTGACCACACAGAGATCTACCTAGCTCTTCTACCAAGTGCTGGGATTAAAGGCGTGTGCCACAAACACCCAGCTCTGCTATGGCTTGCTATTAGC